GTACTATATAACATTTTAGACACATTCTAGACAGTTTATCAGCTAAAAAAAGTTAATTTTGGGGTAAGTTACTCTTTAACCAATTTTTTCACACTTTCTGTAAATCATATAAACTTCATTTCACTTCTCAAATATCACTGTGTTTGTCCCCTATATGATAAATTTAACTGATATTTTTATCCAAATAATCAAGGATTTATAAAAGGTAAATCAGGAAAATTAACAAGGCTGCCCAAACCGTTGCAYCCCACTGTATTACAGGAGTTCTTAAATACAGTATTGGTTTGCATAAGTACAGCTTTTCTTTAGAAAAGAAACCATAACCATAGTTTATTTTAAATGAAAGATGCTGAAAAGTGAGGTTTTTGGAGATAGAAGGTTTGTTTCTGCCTGACAAAGATGATATGCAAAGCAGCATCTCTGCACTTGTCATTCCATGGGAGATAAAGCATCAGACAAAATAGCAGCACAACATCCAACAGTCTGTTAGATTTGTTTATTCCTAAACACGGACCATATTCGAGTTTCCACTGACTGAGAAATAGAGCACAGCTTGGGGGAGTCGCCTGTTACTGGGGAGTATTTTTTGTTTGTTTAGGATAAGTGCCCCAGCTCTTAAAATGACGCCACTTATTCTAAAACTACAGCAGTTCAAGTGTTACTAGCATTCTTGGCCCCCTTCACATTGGATGACAACCTCACTGACAAGCAAAAGAAAAGAAAAAAAGAGAAATCAGTCAGAATGTGAATTGTTTTTGCAGGGTTTTGACAAGGTTGTATTACRAACACAGTAGGCTCTCCATTATACATGACAGAGAGAGATGGGTGATGGTTCTGAACATGCACAAAACTTTTATAGCAAACTGGGTTATTGTTTTGTGGCAAAAATATTAATGATGTGGAGCCTCTGCCKATCAGCAGGTCTGGGTCTGGACTGATCACGCTGGCCTTACAGGCTACATGAAAACACAGTACAGRCATGATACCCAGAGTTGTAGAGTAATGCTGGCAGAGCGTGATCATGCAAAAATAAATAAATAGAAAACTAAAAACTATGTTGAGTACAAAGAGTTTTGCAACACCTTGGCTGCCTTCAACTGATGTAGTTTTTCCAGCAACATTCACAAAGATCTTGTAGGTCGGAGAGACAGTTTCAGGGTTGTCTTTCTGTGTGAAAGTAGTCCACATTTATATTATTACTAATCTGAGCAATCACCTGCTCTGTTATTASCCATTTACTTTTAAAATAATTCTGCTGTAATTGCACAATGTGTCTGCACTGTGATACTTTACAGTTAGTACTCTGTTAAGATTGTTTTGCACTGAAAATAGGCAAATTCTGATTCCTAATGTCAGATTCTGATAGTCTACTGTCTCTAAAACAATTTTTTTAAATTCTTGCACAATTCTTTATAATATATTTTTTTGTTATTAATAGTTGTATCATGGCTAGTCTGTGTTAATTTTGTGTACTGTCTATAGTTTGTAAACTAACTAGCGTGTGAACCTCTGTACTGATGCTGCTGTGACACCTGAATTTCCCCTCAGTGGGACAATAAAGGCTATTTCTATTCTATTCTATGAAGAAATGTAGTTACCATTAGGAGCTATATACKATGTGAAAAGTCCATAAATGAGCATGAATTGAAAACTGTATGAAGGATTATGTTATAGAATAAACAGCAAAAGTTGCATTTAAAGCCTGAACAGTTCACTCTTTAGTGGTCAGAAGAAAACGRAACATATTCACCACTGATCAGTGTAAAGTGTGCAGCTGGACAACTTTTTGTTTTTAAGCTTTCTAAGTACTGTCTAATACTAATGGTACTTTATAATATTCTTATAGAAAACATATAATATTCTTATAGAAAGCACATGAAGAAGCAATAAGTGAAAGCTAAATTGATTCACATAATAGTAAAAACAAGATTGTTATTGGTGTCACTACAGAGTATGTGTTGAGGATGACTCAGCTACTACCACACCAAATGTTAGTTCAGTATCTGTGAAACTGGCAGAGTTGCTACGTTTCAAAAATTCAGTTAGCTGAGGCGGCCATYTTGAATMAGGTTAACTCAAAACATTATTTAGATATTGTTGAACATTCACTGCTTACTTTGAGGGTTTTATTGGTTCATGTTGTTAGTGGAGTTAAATCCAACAATTAGCAACATTTTAGAAACAGATAATGTTACTAATCACACTAAATTTTAGCTCAATCTGTAAAGTAATCTGTAAAGTGGACTGTGGTGTAGCCATTTTAGAGGTTGTTTTTCTATGGAAGTCATGTTGAATGGGGCCAATTCAAAAAGTTAAGCTGAAGATGTACATTCAGTGCCTACAGGTTTAATTTAATCTGTCAGTGGTTCATCAGAAACTGTGATAAAACAAAAAGGTAAAACAAAATCTTTTTTKCCCTTTTGCCTTTGATTTTCTTTCGCACTCCTTCTTTTGGCTGACTCAGGGGTCGCCACAGCGAGCAAACTTGCATGAGGATTTGGCAATTATTTTTATACCAGATGCCCTTCCTGACGTAACCACTGACCACAGAGCTACCGTGGCCCATGTGTGGAGCAGAGTGTGGCCATACAGGGTGCCGGTGGGAGCAGATTGTTTGTTTGTTTGGGGGCTGGAGGGTTACAGGCTTGCTCAAAGGTCCAGAATGAGACGGCATCAGCTTTCCTACYCAAACTGTGCTGCAGTCAGGGGATTCAAACCGGTGACCTCTCTCTATCCACCCATTGTGCACCACATCCCATTATTTGCCGCTTTGATGGGGAGTGATTATAAAAATAAAAAAGACTTTTAACAAAGTGAATGTATCTACATTGTTCAACTCAAAATCTTTTTCATCTTTACCCTTTGATAAAAACTTGTGGTACAACAGGACTAGTACTACAATATAGACGTCAACAGATACATCGTCTGGACAATATTGTTGACGATATTTGTGTTTGTTTTTTTCCTTGTATCGGCTGATGCTTGCATGCGTTTCCTGATCCATCAGTGCATTCAGCAGCCATGCACTGAGATCACATGGCCGCATGTATTGCTGCCCCCACCCCCTGGCAGGGAGTGGCTGGTAAGACTGAGTGCCAACGACAAGTGTGAGTTTTCAACTTTTAATGTACTTTTAATTGTCTAATTTAGCTGTGTCTGCCCTTTGAAAGTCTGTCCCTGTCTCAGGTTACAAAGTGGAGAAAAAAAAGCATCATCAGCTTAAAGCATGATAGGTTTGGGCGATATGAAGGTATACTGTTATACCGCGATATCAAAATGTGATGACAGTATGTATAAATTATGACAATATGAGTCACATGAGAGGAAGCATCAAATTTCCACAAGCCTGTTACAAACATTTCAGAAGACGCTCCATGTTCTTACTGACGCTTGTTCTGACCACCTCAGCTCATTCAGGAAAAAAAATTAATAAAACAAACAAACAAACAAAAAAAAGAAGAAAGTGGGGAGCAGAGACACCTTCGCCTGCTGTGCAGCTCGCTGGCACCCAAAAGATGGGCCACTGTGGTGCCTCAGACAGCTTCACAGACYAACCAGTTGCGGGTTTCTTAAGTCAAACAAAGAGCTGACTCCTTTCGAATTTAAACTTTTGGTGATTTTTTTTCCGACTCACAAGCTTGTCCTCAATGCAGACAAGGAAATGACTACTAACTTTATTGGCACAAAGACATTCCTGGCTAAAAGCATGCAGCAGCATGGATACAACCAGGGTAATGTGCGGTCACACCAAATGCATTTTGAGTGTCAAAATCACGTCCAACTCTTGTGCACGATGCTCGTTAAAAAGGTTCTCGACGTGCTTGACGCYGGTCTCGCCTCTGCCAGTCTCTAATGTCTGATGAAATAAAAGAAAGTGGCTTTGCTTTGTTTACTGAGAGCAAGCGTACGTCGTGCTCATGAGACAGTTCATTCAWAATTAATTCACCAGAAAATTCAGAGACGTTATGAGTTTGGTGAGTTTCATCACCCAGGAGCTGTGAGCTAACGAGGCTCGCTTTCAGAACTATTTTTGTCCTGAGCTCAGTTTGATGAGCCGCTGACCCGCATCGGTGCTGATATCTCCTGCCATGACGCCAACTACAGACACTCGACTTCAGCTAAAGAGCTCCTGTCCGTCTATCTCAGGTTAGTGGACATCATTCAGGAAACCGTCCTGTTGGGACACTCAAAACGCCGTGCTAAACGTACCGCAGTACTTCCTGATGCGCAGCCACTATAGACTTTGCGTGTACACCTGACGCTCAAAATGTGTTTGGTGTGAACGCACCATAAGACTGAGTCAGATTATTTTGAAACTTAAACACATAGTTGGACTATTTTGATCTGTTTGACTTAATAAGGGGCAAAACTCATTCTGTGTCTCCTGCTGCAACTCTGAGTGACAGCAATGGTAAATGCTCACAAGCAGCTACTTCTCAGTTAGTTATTAATTAATCAACACGCCACAGACCCCCAGCGTCTACCCCAGTAATACCATACACCGCGGTATTTTCTAAAGATTATACCAGGGTATGAAAACGATCAATACCGCCCAACTCTACTGCGTGACTTAAAAATCACTCACCACAGTAAGGTTATTATTCATTGGCTGGAAGGTGCAGCAGAGCAGCTCGCTGGATTCTGGGTCTCGGACTTCTCGAATGCACCGACCATCCTCTGTGTTCCAGATGCGCAGGGTCCCATCTAATGACGTCGACACAATGATGTCATTACTCAGAGACCAGGCGAAGTCTGTGACAGGACCCCCGTGCCCTTTCAGAGTGACTTTCACGGTGGGAGGAGGTGGGGACAGCGTCATGATGGACAGGGTTCCATCCAGGGAGCAACAAGCAAGGAGGTGCTTGTCATCGTTAGCAAACTGTAACCGTGGAACTTTAGAAAGAAAAGGAAGAAACATAAAGAACGTTAGGCATGCAAATACTAATTCAGATAAATAAAATGTATATATATATTGCTTACACACCAGCAGAGTCGACATGTTGGTCAAATATGTGATGCATGCCAGCAAAAGCATAGTTTTCACTCAAGGTTGTGTCTCCTGCCATCGCRCGGCTGGCCTCTGCCACGGAGGTGGGCACCAAACTGCCCGGAGGCCTGTGGTCACAAATAAAAACCCTTTATCAAAACATCATCACGACCATTTTATAGAGTGTACAACAAATTTATATGATCATAAAGTGAACGCATGCCAAACAGTAAATCTAACAAAACACAGCTGCTTATCAAATGTAATGATGCTTTGAGACAAGATGTATGGAAAACAGAGGATCTTTGTTTAGCAGTTTTCAGAGGACCTCTCATCGTAGACGGCTCTGTTCATCTGCGCCTGCAGCTGGTAGGAGCCTCTGCTGACAGACCGGCGGTGACCGCGAGCCCCTTGAGCACGAGGGTCCTCCTCAAAGTCCTGCCAGAGAGGGGCAGGGAGAGGAGCCACAACAGAAAAATAACCTCAAAGGAGTGAGTTAAGGTGTTTTAAGGCACGCTTAAAACTACGACACATGCAATCCTACATAAATCTACAGAAACTGCCATGCACTTTTTCATCTAAAGACACTGCCATACAAGAGCAGTGACAGCCATTTCAACCAAGCTGCTCAGCTTCAYATGTCCTGCAACCAACATGTTGCTTGGCACCCATTTGTTTTTTGTTTTTTTAAGTTTTAGAATAGTTTCAACCCYCCCATCTCCAAATCAATGCAGACACCTCCATTCATTTTATTTTTCTCTACTGTCCCTGTCCTTTCGTTTTCTCTGAGTCTGACCTCCATGCGGTCCAGTGTGGTGCGGGAGCTGCGCACACTGCTGGCCCTGAAGCTGCTCTGCTCAGACAGGGGCCCGTAGCGTAGAGCCAACAGCTGACTGCGCAGCCTCAGGTACTGCCTGCGCAGCCCTGGCTCAAAGCCACACTTGGCGTTCTCTCTGAGCAGCTGGCTGCGTCGGCGGATGTACTGAGTTCGGAACTGTGGGAAGGTAGGCGTGCGGTAAGCATTGTACCTGGAAGAAGACAAAAAAACGTGACATCAGCACACTTTAATTCACTGTAACACACACACACACACACACACACACACACACACACACACACACACACACACACACACAC